CTTGTGATTGAGGAGGGAAATACTTCATTCTTGTGGAAAACAACACTTGGCTCTTTAAGGTAGTTTGCATTGATGGTGTTATCACGTTCTCAACATCCAAAGCCTTTATCGCTAACGAATTACTTTTGAAGTGGAGTCATTGTTAATTGAGGTAGGTGAAGAACCTGCTTTGCTGTTTGATAAATAGTTCTGTGGCATGTTTTCAGTTCCCCTACATAAACGGCAAGTGTGTCCTAGTCAGAAATGTAGCCTGTCCAACAATCCTACATGCCCTTGCTTTATGCAGTGAACCATCAGCTTTGATTTATGTGAAGAGGTATTTTGACTCTTGAACTGTAATTCTTTGCTTCAAATATCTGAAAATTAGCACTGAATCAATTGACTGTCATATTGCAGCTGTACAGAACATTGGTGAGGCCACTTTTGGGTTACGGTGTACGATGAGGGTTGCTCTTCTATAGGAAGAATGATAGTAAATTTGAGAGAGTGCAGAAAAGATTTACAAGATGTTGTCAGGACTGGAGAGTTTGAGCTATAGGGAGAAGCTGAATAGCTGGGGATGTTTTTCCCTGGAGCATTGCCAACTGAGTGGTGACCTTTGTAGAGGTTTTATAAAATGATGAGGGGCACGGATAGGGTGAATAGCCAAGATCTTTTTCCTAGGGTGGGGAAGTCCAAAATGAGAGGATGTAGGTTTAAGGTGAGAGGGGAAAGATTTAAAAGGAACCTGAGGGGTTACCCCTCAGGTTCCTTTTTCAAGCAGAGGATGGTGCATGTATGGAATGAGCTGCCAGAGGAAGTGGTGGAAGTGGGTACAATTACAGCATTTAAAAGGCACCTGGGTATATGAATAGGAAGGGTGTAAGAGGGAAATGGACTAAATGCTGGCAGATGGGACTAGGTCAGTTTGGGATGTCTGGCCAACACAGATGGGTTGGACCGAAGGGCCTGTTTCCATGCTCTATGACTCTGACTCTTTTTTTAAAAAACACAGCAACATTTAATAATCAAGGAAGAAGGTGTCTTTTTTTTTAGAAGGTTGTACTTTAGGCTAAAATCACCATTTTCATTGTAAAAACCACAATGTTACATTTCACAGCTTCTCTCATGTAGTAGACTTCCCCTTTCAACTGTACCATGAAGCTCGTGAACAGCATTTGATCAGTTTTGCAAAGGGGAGAGAATCTGAGAGATATTTCAGACTTTGTACTTTGAATCCAAGGATTGTCGAATGGTTACAGCACAGAAGAGACCGACAGGGCGTCCATGTTGTCCTTATGCGTGAGCAGTTCAGTTCGTTGCATCCCTTACTGTGTTCCTGTATCTCTGCAAACTTTTCCTCTTCAAGTGCTTATTCATTTTCAATAGTCAATTGGTTAGTAAAATTCTTGCCAAATTTGAACGAGTTACAGAAGCATTAAAGCAACTTGTGAAGACATTTCAAACAATCAAGAGAATGTTAATGTCACCTGATGCTAGCACAGTAACCTTTCATTACTGACTGTAACTGCAGTAGGTGCCTCAGCCACAGGTTTTAGGGCAGTCTTCAAATACAGAAAATGGATGCCACTTTCAAATGACAGATTTCAAGCACTGTCAGGCACTGAGAAGGAATGTGCATTTGTGCAGAATGAAGCTCTTTCAGTTAAATGGAATTACGCATAGTTCTCAGGTAATTTGCTAATGATTAAATGGCTTATTTTGTGGAAGAATGTGGATTTGAACATCTTGCAAGTTTCCCGGATATCCTTAATCTAATAGTGAAATAGAACAAGAAGTCAGAGCAATCAGAGCACTCTTAAAGGCTTTACTATGTGGGTTAGCACATTTGAAGTTATTGATGGGAAAGAAAAACATAATTTTGTTATCCTATTCAAGAAATTGCTGCCTGATCTAAATGGCCAGGATTATAAAGAAATGCATGACAACAGAAATCTTGCACAACATAGCAAGCAAAAAAAACTACAATAGGATCCAAGAGTCTAGAACACAGATCATAATAGAGATGGGATAATTGTCCAGACAGATCAGCAGAGATCTTATCTGGTGTACGTACCACAAGGCATAATAAGAAGAAATAGGGGAAAAATTATTCGATTAATTCCATATCTTTTTTACAAATCAGCAAATAGTCATCTATTAAATGAGCCAAATGTTGAAACTTAAAAATAGGAAGAAACATATAATGAAAACAATCAAAATTAAGGAAGAAAAGTTTTTGTTTTTTTTTAAAATTAGCGATCTTCAGAGTTCCATGTAAACCAGAACTCGGAGAATTGTGGAACTTTCTGACAAATGAAATGTGTGAAGTCCAAGCCTTTGTTGAAGATGGGATATTAAATTAAATGCTGCCTGTGACTTCTTAAACTTTGGCAACCTTGTTGCATTACACCCTATCATACCTTTTTGAAGTCTGTGTACCACAAATCATCTTTTGATAGATGAGGATGACAGAAGTGTTAACTGAAACCTAAGAAGATGCTACTGATCTGTACTGGTGCATTTGCTGAGTGAAAGCCCTGAAGGAGAGGAGGATAGATATTCCAGCTGCAAAGCACAAATACTCAATTTCAGGTTAATATTTGATGATGACTTCATCCCACACAATCTTGCATATTTGTGTGTTTCCATTTATAAGGGTTGCCTTTGATATTTTCTTGATTACAGTAATGTATATGATCTTGAGTGGTTTGCATTTGGAGTGTGCTTGTCCTGCCAAATGCTTAACTATGTAAAAGCCCAGGACTGTGTAAATACAACCAAATCAAATTTTTTGCCCATATGCTGCTTCAAAGGCAAACACTTGGCTAAATTTAAAAAGGCCAGGTGTAAATAGCTAAACTATTTAAATTCAAAATAAATTAAAATCACTCTCATTTGCTTTGTTTGGTTCAATTTGTTTTAAATTTTCTTCATGGGGATAATGTAAAATAATGATTAAACTGCACTTGTGTGTTGATATGTGTAATATCAAATAGCTTCTTACTTATTCTCCTCCATTCCCTTTTCAGATTTCTGTTTTGAAGCGTAAGTGACAATGCAGCATATCTTGGACTTGACTGGTCGGATACATTAGGGACATTTAAGTGACGCTTGGATAGGCACATGGATGATAGTGAAATGAAGGGTACGCAGGGTAGTTTGATCTTAGAGTAGGATAATAGGTTGGGACAATATCGTGGGCCTGTACTGTGCTGTACTGATCTATGATCTATGCTGAGTGACACCCTCTTGAAAAACGATTGGAAACAAATAGTCTAAAACATGACAAGCTTTCAACTTGAGCAAGATTCTCCTTATTCTAGGAGAAAACATCCAATTATGTTTGGTAGTTTTTGTTTTGAACGAGCTCCTTCAAGTTGATAAGTGATGTGTATCTGGGGCCATGCCCAAAAATTTAATATCTAGTTTCCACCTTATTGTGGTACCTTTTTGGCAACTGGTTACCAATATACTAAAGAGAAACAACACCAGCAACAGAGGAAAACAAAACCTGCCAAAAAGGCTTCACAGTGCACAAATTCAGCCAATATCTTTTTAAGAAGTAAAAGGTCATTCCTGTTGACTGCTGGATCTTGTTTCTCAGAGGTGGAATCATGTAGGAAAATGTTTTTGTCAGTAATCAAGTGCGTGATTGTGCTAGTGACTCTGCTGCTATCACTCTATAAGCAACTCTTTCAAAGAGCGTTCGCTGAGCATTATAACATTCTTAATTTACACACATGATATAATCTTCCTGACAGTTTTTTGTTGCTGTTTAAGTCTGTGTTATCTATTTATTGTTTCCACTCATTATTTTGAACTATTTATTTCTTGTGATGAATGTTCATAATATGTTATTAGGAAACTTGGATCCTAAAATAGAAGAACAAAGGGTAACTTTAATTTGTATTTCTACGCTATGTGCATTAAGAAGGGAAAGACATTGTTTTAGTTTAATTTCTGAGTGGCGTGACACAGTGTCTGAAATTTTGTTCACTTGCCTCTTGATGAGGTTTTTAATATACCTGAAGTGAATAATTCAGTGCATTAATAACAGAGGGGGAAGGAAACTATAATTGCCTATTGACAGGAATTCACAGAAGGACAGAACTGTGCAGAAAGTCAGGCAATGTACATGTTAAATCAGCAAGAAAAGGCACTGTTAATTCAGCCATCTCCACAAAGTCAAGTTTGGGGGAAAATGGTCCTGAGAGGTTCTTGGAGGAAAACTCCAAAAACAAAAACTGCTGTGGGTATGGAAAATTTGTGTTTACTGTGGAAAATTTAGAAGTTGATAAGAACTTAAGAAACCATTCCAACTGAACAGGCGGCTTTAATTTGGATACAGAGCGACCCTTCACTAAGGTTTGAGTATCTGTAAGGTTGCTGTTAAGGCTAAGTGGATTGAAACTTTATTCAGACCATTTTAACAGGATTATTTCAAAGAGTTTTTGTATAGCTTGTTTTTTCTTTCTTTTTTGTTCTTCTGTTAAATGCACAAATTCCAGCCTGTTGTGAATATATTCAGTAACTAATCACCATGGAGAAAATATTAGGAAAAATAAAATGCATGGTCTGTCAAGCAGGGTTGCACTTTGAGATCTAACTTGTCCAGTATTACTATCAGCTAGGATAATAATGTCCTATTTATTCTGATCAAAACCATTATAACTGATGGAGATCTGCACAAAAGCTGTGCAAGTAGGCAATCTTCTTCTCTCAAGTTGAGACTTGAGCTACCTCTCAGTAAATTAGCATATTAGTTGTGACTGTTTCTCATCACGTATATTTTGCAATTCACATTTAACAATAAAAGTTCATTTACACTTCAGAATGTGACTTCTTGCAGTGTGAATGTTTTTCTTTGTCAGCATGGGGCAAGCTATTAGTTTTAGCACGATATCAACTTAGTAAATCATATACTTTGTGCAGAAGTCACGTTGTTCCTTTTGTCCTATGTTATGTTGTCTATGTTTTAGATTTTCTGTCTAAACTCCATTTACTGTAGATTCTTATACAGCACATCTCAGAACCACAAGAATCAAATGACCATCAAAACTTGTTTTTGTTATTTGGGTAAAGAACTTTCAAGAATAGTTTGTACCCTTACCAATTGAATCCTGTTTCAGTATTGGTTGACAGGTTGAAAGTCCTGGCCAGATTTAAACCTGTCTCTTAAACAATAGCTACTCCCTGGGCTAATGTCAGTCACATAAATCTTGAATGTTTTTCTTCCCCCTCTGTTTCCTAAGACCTGTTTTCTCTTGAGATACAGCTTTGTGAATTCTGGGCAGGTAATTTCACAAGTGGAAATTCTTAGTGCAAGCCTGCATGACATCAAAGTGTATTCAACTATAGTGCTAAGCACACTCTTCTCTGCATTTGGTGTGCATATAAACATTCATTTCAGGAGACGTTACCTTTATAGTAATAGGATGTGAATACTATCCCCAAAAAAAGTGCTGAATTTCCTACTCCTCATTTCTTGTGTTCAGTGTAGGTGAGTGCTAGAGTCTAACATCTACCTAGTCAGTGTCACTCGGAATCACTTGTCCTCTGAGATGTTTGAACTGACAGTAATGCAATCGATTATCATTAGTTTGACCTAACAATAATTCTTTATTCCTTCTGGATCCCGGACAAATAAGTTGCTTTCTTCTCCATACTGTATTGTTGTTTTGGTTTTCTTCTAGTGTGTATATAGTAACAACAATGTAAGTTCATCAGTATGACTTGTTCTTTGTATCAAGTGACAAATATTTTTCAAATTATTGTGATGTATATAAATTTGTATCTTTGTTTTTAAAAGATTGTGTGTTTATTTCAATGCAGTACTGAATGATTTCAGTTACATTAACTTTTGGCATTAAGCCAGCGTTTACTTCTTCCTATGTGTCTTCTGCATTGTATCTTTGTGTCAAGAGTGTTAATGGACCGGATAAAACAAAAGTGACCTGAATATCAGATAATAAGCTTTGTGGAAATACTAGTAACTGTTTTTCTCTTTACAATCAAAAGAAATATTGTAGACCTATGTAGGTCCTTCACATCCTCTGGGCGTTCGAAATTGCTTTATAATGAATTAATTCCTTTTGAATTACAGGTATCATTGCTACTTAGAAAGTATAGGCATTGACATTAACACCCCATCTCCGCCCTGCATCCAATCATAACGGGCAAGTTAGATCCTTTTCAAAAAAAACACAAACATGACCCAAGCTAGTCATGTATGCATCAGTTGCTGTTATGATGATGGCATAGCCCCTGTCTTTCCCCACTCCCTCCTCTGCACTAATCTCCTCTTCCCAAAACCACCTCCCTCCGCTTTCCCCCAATAGTTTTTTCCTTATTCCATCTATTCTGTGATTACAACTCACCTCTCTTTTCCGATTGCCACGTATGATACCACAAGCTGTGCCCACTTTCTCGTGCTGCTATTTTTCTTGCCCGGCTGAGAGACAGCAAACGGAATAAAATAGATGTTTGAGCTTGGATCTTTGAAGTGGTAACTTTACCAAGTTCTTTGTCTTCAAAAATCTATCTGTATCAGCCTTGGTGTACAGGTTTGTGCACAGTAAGTTTAAAGATCAACAAATAATCAGTCTTTGCTGTCCTGATTGAGAAAGAAATGTTAGCTGATATACTGAGAGCTTCATGTTCTTTAAATATTCTATGGTGATTTTGTGTTTTGGTTTAGCATCTTATTTGAAAGCAGCACCGCTATTGGAATATAATTCCCTCAGGCCTACATGGGATTGTCACCCAAGATTATGTTCTCAGTTCCTGTGTGGGGCTTGATTTTATAATCTGAATCTGATGAAACTGAAAATTTTGGATCTGTAGAATATATTTCCATTCAAAGAATGATGATCATTGTTCAAATTTAATAGCATAATTGCAGAATAGTTACTTTTATCTGGAGACCGTCAGACCTTGTTTGTACTTGTGTACGTTTTTGAACCTGATCTATAGGTAAAAAAACATTTCTGTTGAAGCAATTGGTTATTTTGTATTGTGAATATGTTGTGACAGAATGATTAATTAGTCAATGAATGGATATGCATGATTACCTGGGTGATTACTTACGTTTGACGTGCAAACCCTTGTGTGTTGGTTGTAAACAGTTTATAATGTGAGAAATTCTTACTCCTTGGATTTTTAACAAAAAATCTGATTACTTTTTAATGTGTGTTTGCTTGAAAGTTTTATTATCGGCTAATTACTCGGTTCACCTTTTCATCACAGTCTTGGCCCCAGTATAAACAAGAACTAAAGGTGAGGTGAGAGTGGCTGTCCTAGGCATTGAAACAATGTTTGACCAAGTGTGGCAATTTGCAAAATTGAAATAATTGGGAAAATGTTTCCATTGGTTAGAGGCCTATCCACTGCAAAGGAGGATAGTTATAATTGTTGGAGGATAATCACCTCTGCCCTAAGACATTGCTGTGGAGGTTGATCAGGGTACTAACATAGACCCCAATCATCATCGCCCTCATCATTTACCTCGTCAGTGACTTTTTCTCCACTATAAGATAAGAAGTGAGGATGTTCAAATATGTTTGCATAATGTTCAGTACTATTCGTGACTCATCAGATACTGAGTTAGTTCATTTTCACGTGCAGTGAGAACCTGATGACTTTTTGGTGTCAAGAAATATTCGCGTCACAAAGTGTCAGATAATTACCGTCCTCAGTAAGAAAGGTTCTAACCATCTTCCCTTCATGTTCGACAGCATGAAAGTTGCAAAATCCCCCATCAACAGCATCCTTTGGGGTTATCGTTGACCAGAAGCTTAACGGGAACAACCTTTTTATATAGACTGTGTGCTACAAGAGCAGGTTAGAGTAGGGGTATTCTGAGGTGGGTAGCTTGATGCTGAATCCCAAAATCTGTCCTTCACCTGGAGGGCACAAGTCCAGGAGAGTGAGGGAATGCTTTCCACTTGCCTGGATGCAGCTGCAAATATAGTAAAAATGATCAGTGCTGTTCAGGTCAAAACGACAACTTGATCAACATCTCATCCACAACCTTGAACATTCCTTTCTCTCTATCTCCGGTGCAGTTTCAGGAACGTGTACCATATACAAGATGCACTACGGCAAATCGTTAAAGTTCCTTCAACAGTAGCTTCCAAATCTGTGCCATGTTATGCAAATGTCTAATTGCATGATGTATGTGTTTTTGAAATTTAACTTTTAAATGTTAGCAAAGTGGGAGGAAAAAGCTTGGCTTTCAGGAGTCTTGAACAGTTTCCAAGATAATTACCATGCAAAGATTGGCCTGAGTTTATTTAAAGTGATTAGAATTAGAGGTGTGAAAACAATTTTTTGAAAAGGAAGGTGGTCTGCCCTTAGTTTAGGAACGGAGTCAACAAGTCTGGTAAGATTGTAGTTGACCCCATTAGAGAAAGAAATTATTCAGATTTCTCCAATCAAAACAAGGTTTGAAAATAATGGGTAAACAAGGGAAGGCCTTAAAAAGGTTCATATATTTTTCAGATAAAAAGACAGATTTGGGATTGTCTATGTAGTGGTTTGAATTTCTATTTAGCACACACCATTTGTGTCATCTTGCAGTTGGGATAGATTTTTTTGTAATAGGTTTATAAGTGAGTTGTGCATCTGGTACTTAGAACTCCCTACGTTGGAGCCTCCTAAGCAGACGTTGAGAGAGGAATCCAGAAAACCCAGGTTCAGATAAGTCCATTCCATGAGGAATTAGTATTGTCAGCTCTACAAGTGAAAGAGATTGGCAGTGGAATTTTTGCGGAAAGCTCTGACATCCTAGTGCTAGACTGGGATACTGAGATTTGAAAATTGAGTCACAGTGAATTCTTGAAATCTGTTCCATACCTTAGCTTGGTCACAGAAGGTATGATAGGGTTTTGAAGATCCTGAAAGTATAGGGAAACTCTTGGGTGAATTTTAAAAAAAAAAAGCAAGCAGGAAGGGGTTTGTTGAAATTTTCAGTGTTTACAAAATAATGCTAAGTTAATACTTAGATTAATCTATGTACAGTAAAAGTTTCTGTTCAAAACATGAATTCTTGTGGCATGATTCCTACAGTGAGCAACTAGGAGTTCAAATTTTTTCTTTTGGGAGATCCATTGTTTTTTGAGAACCATCTAGAAGAGTAAGTGCAGCAGACAGATGGGAACGCCACCACCTGCAAGTTCCCCTCAAATGCACATAACATCTTGACTTGGAGCTATTGTTGCAATCTTGTTAGACAGTAACTTTCTAAAATAAAATACAAATTTCAATTTATTATCTGAAGACCATGGAGCAAGTTTTCACATTTTAAAGGGAAAACATCACTGCTAATAAAAGAAAATGAATAAGTACCGTTGGTTTAACACCATATCTTGTAAACAGTATGACTTTAAACCAGTGCTTCTGAACAGAACTGTCCCATTCTGCTTTCCTATCAACCAAGAATTCATTTTTACATTTAGTCTTTTTTAAATATTCATTTATATCTCCTGGAACCAACCCACTAGGTACCTCAGCTTCCGAGGATTTATTTTGGTTTTCCTGCTTTCTTAATTATCTTTCAAAGTGAGGGATTTTCCTGAAATCTTCGCCCACCCCCATCCTACCCCGCCCCCGCCCCCCCCAAAAAAAACAGCATCTGATTAGGTAAATCTTTCAGCCAACTTCAACATGTCTCAAATTTGGATTTCCCTGACCTCTGAGCACGGTTTCATTTTGCATCTTGTTAAATGACCAGAAATTAGAGACCTCCATGATTTTTGAGGGATCTCTGCTCTTTATTCTGGTTGCTTGTAAATCTCCTTTGTCTGCTTTTTCCAAACTACTTCAGACCCAGATTGACCTCTAAAGGCAGTAGAGATTTGCCAAAATAATCTTGTCTCCAACCCAACCCACCTCATGGCAACATGACAAATATGACCTGGCCCAAATACAACTTAATTATTTTCAAATCTCTTATAAAATCATCTATCACCGAAATAGACTTTGTTCGGCATGGACTAGTTGGACCATAATCCCAAATTAAACTAATTCCACCTGCCTGCTCTTGGCCCATTTTGGTATGGGCTTATACAGTTAATGGCAAGGCCTTGGCTAGTCTTGTAGAGCAGAATGACCTAGGCGTGCAGGTATGTAATTCTTTAAATTTGTGTCATATATAGACAGGGTGGTTGAAAAGGCATTTGGCATGCTTGCCTTCATTGCTCAATCCTTTGAGTATAGGAGTTGAGACATTATGTTGAGATTGTACAGGACTTTGGTGAAGCCTCTTCTGTAATACTGTGTCCAGTTCTGGCCACCCAGTTATAGGTAGGATATTGTCAAGCTGGAGAGGGTTCAGAAGAGATTTACCAAGATTTTTCCTGGTATGGAAGATTTGAGTTGTATGGAAAGGCTTGGACTTCTTTCACTGAAACACAAGAGATTGAGAGGCAATCTGATAGAAGTTTATAAAATAATGAGAGACATAGACAGAGTTGATGGTAGTTGTCTGTTCCTGGGGAGTTTCAAGACTAGAGGACACATTTTTAAGGTGAGAGGAGAGAGGTTTGAAAAAGATGAGGCAAATTTTTTACACACGAGTGGAATGAACTTCCTGAGGAAGTGGTGGAAGCAGGTACAATTGCAACGTTTTCTTTGGTATAAAAAGCAGATGGATACCTAAAAGCCTTTCCCTGTATTCCAAGCATGTTGGAAACTTTCTTTGATCTGTGGAATCAATTGAGTAATTTACCCCTCCCCAAACACACCTATGCACACAGTTTACCTTAACTTCTATCTTTCTTCTGAGATGCCTATGGACATCCTGACCCCTTGAGGTATTCAGAGTATCCATGGTGATCCTAGTGTAAACACCTGTCGCCACCATCTCAGAAACACAGTAGATCTTTTCATCTGCAATTCTAGAGTTATTTTATTAGCTTTCTAGACTGAGCTATCTTCATCTATTCTATATTTAGAATCAGCAACTCTTGGACCAGAACAATGTAAGCCAAAATTTATAATAACAGATTGATCATAAAATTGTGTTAGAAATACTTTATAACTGTTCCTTCACTTTCACTAGATCAAAAGCAGAAGCCAGCTCACCACCGTCTTCTCAATGGCTGTAAGGAATGGTTAAATATTGGCCTTGGTGATAATTGTATCTCATGAAATAATTTTAAATAAGTAGCGTGCATTATTTCAGAATGCAATGATCCCTTGCATTGTGTTTTCTTTCAGTATTTGTTAAGGAGCAGAAAAGTGAAGAAATGAGAGGTTTCAGTCATCCAATTTTTTTTTTTTTACAAGCACCGTTTTCCAGTGCATTTATCTTTGGACACTGAACCTTAGGAAATATATATTGACCAGAAGGGGACATACTGGAGATTCGCTCGTTCTATAACAGAGTTTATAACATTCAGTTATGAGTAGAATTTTTGTTTAAGTTTTGTACTCCCTCAAATTTAGGAGAGGAGATAGTTACAAATAATTTAAATTGTTAAAGGGATCTAATTGAATAAATAGAGAAACTGTTTTCAATGGTGGGGAACAGGAGATCACAACAGTTGGACTACGTAGAGTGAAATCAGCCAGCAGTTTTTTGTCATACTTCTGACATTGGAAATCTGGAGCATAATCTCAAAAGATTATGGAATAAGGAGGGGTCAAATGACATTCTTTTAAAAAGTTATAGATTTTTGATAGCTATTTCTGTAGAGGTCTGGATCAAAAACATTTAGATTGAGTGGTATAGCTCAACTCAGTGCTCATTCATTGACAAAGCAGACTTGAGAGTTCTGTTCCTGTCAGCTTTTTTTGAAGTTGGAATGCAATTGCATTGAATGTTAATGCAGTTGGTGGATTTCAGTACACCAGAAAAAAATCGGATCATTTTCCTGAAACATGAGAACAATACTTCAGAATGAAAGAAGAGCCTGTTGTAATGTGCCTTCTCCAATCGTCCTCTGCCTTTACTGTCTTTTTTTAAGATGGCTGTTTTTCAATAGAATACAGCACCAGACATTGGTCAAACAGATCTCCTATTTCTGTACTGAAAATAACTTGGAGCAGAAGGATATCTTTCTTCTTTAAGAAATAGCTTCATGTTGTCTTCCAAATATTAATTCTGTTTGGAATGCAGAATATAAACTACAAAATGATAATGTAGTAATTGTATTTTAAACCAGACAGTGGGTCTGGCAGCAAATACATACATCAAAAGTCTGATGTGACACTAACTGCTGGATGACTACGAATTTATCATTTGAAAGAAAAATGTTTAGATTGATCCTACTTATACTTGCCCAGAGTATGAAGATCCAGAAGCATCAAAGGCTGAAATAGGGATTCATGGAGGGATGTCACTCAAAGAAACTCAAGACAGTGCATGTAGTAAAATTGGAGTGATATGAGAAGATTAGCATTGCCCCAGTGCAAGGATGACATGCATATTTGTGAAGCGTTCACCTTCTTGTAGTGCAATGGTGTTCTCCCTACCCCTGAACAGGGAGGCCTGGGTCCAAGTAGTAACATCTCTGAACAGATTGATTAGAAAAGTAGGTTAAGTCATTTTAAAAATACACTTCAACATTGATTGGGCAGTGTTCAGGGATGTAGAATACTCTGCTGCTATGTCTCACAAGCATGAAGATTATTTTCATCGAATCAGAGAGAAGCCAGAAACTACTGGAGGAGAAATGCCTTCTCTACATAACTTAATTCAGAGGCAAGATGTCTTTATTCAAGCAGGATGCCCAATCAAAATATTTCCAGAATTTTCCAATGCAAATTCATAAGAGAGAGATAAGACCCTTTAGTTACCAGTTCAGATCAGGATATGCAACATAGTATGAGTTTGTTCTCCATTGAATGTAGCAACCTCAACCTTATGATCAGCACAAAAAACATGTGAAATAATTTACCAGCATGGTTTTGGCAAGCCCTATCTTGAACCCAGTGTTTTGGGAATCTATTTGCAGTGGGTAACTTCACTTATCTCAGCAACACACAGTCTCGAGCTGCCTGTATTAATGAGTCATGTAAGAAAAGCGAAATCAAGTATAGCCTTTGCTAGATGTGGCACATCAGTCTGCAAGCAAAGAAGAGCAAATCTGCCAACTCAAACTGGAAGTCAATAGATCAATAGTCCTGCCCATTTTGCTCCAAACATGCAAGACCTCGGATGTGTATCGAGACCTTGCCAAGAAGCTCAGCCACTTTCACTTGAGCAACTTTTGGAAGCTTTTGAAGATCCAGTGGCAGGACAAAATACCAGATGCTGAGGTGCTGACCTGGGCTGGTATGCAAAGCATCTGCATCGTATTGAATCACAGCTGAGTTGGGTTGGTTGCATAATCAGAATGCCTGATACTTGCTTACCAAAGCACATCTTGTGGCATCCTTGAATCTGAGGGCCATTCTCCTGGCTGTCATTACTATGCAGACACTGTTAAGGAGACACTTAGGAGTTTTGATATCATCTTCAAGTCCTGGAGGAAGCTTACCTGGGACCACTACACCTGGAGCAGCCTGGACTTATTCAAGAATTTAAGTCAACCATTCAGGTTAATTTGGAATCACTGAAAAACAGTTCCAAGGTCAAAAAACAGAGACATACTCCATGTTAGAAGTGGTGATCTTTAACTATGTTGCAGGGAAGGTAGCTGATCTGCATTGAGTCTGTGTAGTTGGAGACCAGTGAGAAGTGAATAGCTCTGTGTAGTCAGAGCTCAAAAGTTGAGAGAGTGGAAAGGTCACTGGCTTTGTTGGCAGAAGTTGAGAAGGGCTTAAAAGAGGCCTGTAAGCATTGATACTAAAGAGCAGTTTTTTTTTTTTAAAAAGTGGCAGTTGAAAAGCCACAAGTAATATTTGCATGATGCAACAGAGCTTGGAGAAATCCACGGAAGTTTTGGCTTGATAAATTTAGCTATCACTGAAATGCTGGAGTTTTGCCTTTGAATGGTTATTGGAGTGCAATTTGAGTGCAGGGCAGAATGGTGATCATCTAGAACTGGAACATTGATGCAGTCCATGACGAGATGGCCCTTGAGAGGGAGTTTCAAGACAGGATCAGCAAAAGTGAATTGTCATCCCTTGAGAAGTTCAGTGAAGTTTTATGACCCACTGTTACATTGCTCACTGACCCCCCACCCAAGATCTTAATCTATAAGATCTGTTATTCGACATGTGCTGTCATATGTTAGTTCTGGATGTTGGAACTAAATGCCATTCTAACTAGAAAAGTATTGTTTTTTTGTTCAAAACTATGGAATCCTGTAGCATTATCCATAGTTCCCTGAAACTTACCCCTTGTCTACCTTTAAAAATAATGGTTTCTGCCCATGACTGGATCGTAGCATAATTTAGTGCTCTCGCCCAGGATCATAACATCAACATGGTGGGCTAGTCTGGGACCATAATATAATTTGGGGCTTTTGTGGGATTTGTAATCAACAGAAAAATACAAGCACTGGAACATTTTTTTTCAATCTATTCATAGGATACAGAGATTTCTCTAGTTAACTTAATGAAGTTAAGGCTGGTTAAGATTTTCACTGTGAATTTTACAATACGCAGTGAAATCTAAAATGATTTTGACAGTTGTTAAGACTTGCCTGCAGAGGGAAGATCTATCCCTGACTGAATTCCAAACATTGACCAAAACTAGGTTAGTGATGATAGTATATAGAATTAGCAGGAAAAAAAAGTTAAAATTAAAAGCTAGAGCTAAGAAAGCAGTTGTAGTTGGGGTAATTGTACAGTATGTGGAATTTGAAGAAGCCAGATAAAAGACAGCATGAGTTGGCTAGACCAAAAAAAACCCCAAAGAACAGCGGTTGCTGAAAATCAGAAACATGTAGGTCACTGGACCTGAAATGTTAACTCTGCTTTCTCTCCACAGATGTTGTCAGACTTGAGTTTTTCCAGCAATTTGTTTGTGTTTTTGACTTGACTAGAATCCAGTTGCAGATGAAGCAGCAGGAAAGTGAGAGAGGCAAATATTTGAATGTAAACTTCAAAGAAAGAACCATTAAAAGTGTGAACTGGATAAAGAACAGTTTAGGTTATGGTAGCATGAGATCTAATAGTTCGGTAGAGAAGTCATTCACGTGTCTGGTTTGATCAAAACTCATCCTTTTGTTCCCAAATTTACCAAACAGGTAGAGAATTATTTTCTCTTGTTTGAGGAAGTTGCTAAAATTTTGAAGTGGCCAAAGGGCTCATAGGCTCCTATGCTACAAAGTGCCCTTACAGGAAAAACAGTGAATGTTCATTCTAGTCTTTTGGAAGAACAATCCTCAGATTGAGACAGTTAAAGCCATGGTACTTAGCACCTATTTGTTCTGGAAGCTTATCACTTGAGGTTAGGGCAATGAAGGTGAAACCTAGTCAGACACGTGCTGAATTCAATAGGTGTAAAGAAATGCTGTAGGATCATTGATTTAATTCACTGAAATTAGAGAAATCTTTTGAAAACATGAGGGAAATCATGATTTATAGTGATGTATGAACCATTGACTTTTGTTTTTGTAGGTGAAGAGAAGCGAGCACCAAAACGTAGCTATCCTGTTGTTGAAGATGAAGAAGATGATGATTATAGAGTCAACTACTCCCCTTTAGACACTGGCACAGGTCCAATGTTGGTATGTACAGTACTTTGCTGGAAATCATCAAACCTAATGAATGCGCGAGTCGGTCATTTTGATCATGAGTGGCGTGTATTCTATTTATTAATTGTACTGGTATGATTCAGGCCCCTATTTCTAGGGACTTTGATAGGTTATGACACTGCATAATCATATTAGATTTGATAACAGACTATGAATATGATGCCAGCTTTACACAAAAATTAATGTAGTTCTAAAACTGGTAATGTAATAGTATAAATAGTATACAAAGTATTGACCTATTAACTTAGACCAAACTTGAAAGATTCCTTTTCGTACTTTGTCATTGTCAGTGAAAACTTAATGCAGTTCTGTTGACAATGTCTCTACTAAACCCAGATTTTTCCTTTCGTTGCACACAAGCCTTAGGATTACCCATGCTAGTACAGATATGCACGTGTTTACCTTTGATTACAAGGCAATAGTTGTTGCTTGTTGAATTGTTCTTCAGGGCAGCTCATTATGAACAACCGTTTCAACATTTTCATAATGTCAAATTGATGTTGTATGACTGGTTCACACTCCCTGTCAAATTAAATATTTGGTCTTTGTTTCTTAAATGATACATCCCACAACTAAATAACTTGTACAACTTGTGACTCACTGTTTCCATTCATGGCGATGAGTCTACATCCTCTTGACTTAATATATTTTCCTCCTTAAAGACTGAAAATCTGATTAAAGCTTTGCAAGACTTGGAAAATGCAGCATCAGGAGATGCAACAGTTCGGCAGAAGATTGCATCGTTGCCTCAAGAAGTGCAAGATGTTTCACTCTTGGAAAATATAGCAGGTAGGAAGTTTGCTCATTGACCACTGGTACTGGATGGTGCAATGTGTCCCTGACCTGTACTGTCCATGTAGCATTTTTTTTATTTTCTGCATTTATTTTAATTTAGCTTCGCTGTAACCAATTTCTTCTGTTTCTCATTCAGATAAAGCAGCTGCTGAAAGACTTTCAAAAATTGTTGATGAGGCTTGTTTGCTGCTTGCGGAGTATAATGGGCGGCTGGCAGCTGAGCTGGATGACCGGAGACAACTGGCACGAATGCTGACTGAATACATCAGTAGTCAGAAGGAGATTCTGGGGGAGAAAGAGAAAAAACTAGCAGTGTGTATAGTTTTTTTTTCTTTTCTGTTGTTAATTTTGAACTAAATTCAGCTTTGTACGGTTATTCTTGGACTGTTGAAGCGCTCACAGTTTAACAGCTATTGCTTTGCCAAAGAATTTTGAAATGAAATGGTTAATTAAGATTGATATCTAAATGTAAGCTAATAGTTTAGATTAGGAAAATATAGCTAAAAGTATGTTCTTGAAGCATAATGGGAAATAGAGCCAATGTTGTGAGAATGGTGGGATATGTTTCCATTCCTGTGGAAGCCAAGCTAATAATTGTTACATAGACCATGGAATTGCAGAGCATCTGACCAAAATCTTCCAGTTCTACTTGGATATGAGGATGGTGCCAAAGAACCAAAGGGACTGCAAACCTTGCATTTAAAAATGGGGAAGAAGGATACTACCTACAGTGTCATTAGCAATAATTTGAGGTAGCAATAGTTGAGAAACGCAATTAATTCGCATTTGAAAACACATGGCTCATTGTTGAAAGTCAGTGTGAGTTCATTAAAGCAAACAAAGTTTGACTAATAAGATTTAGTTATTTAAAGTAATTGAGACATTAACAGTGATGCAACTGAAATTGTGAACAATTTCATACAGCCTTTAACAAAATACCACAATAGACTTCTAAAAAAATTAGAGATTAAGTGACAGCAGGGATACAAAATGAGCTCAGGCTTCGATAAAATGGAGTAGTGGTAAATCAATATTTTTCATACTTGAGAGAATTAAACAGTGCTGTTTCACAGGGGTTTGGTATTAGATCCATTGCATCTTTTATTAATGATCTGAGTATGTGTATAGATGAGTTTGCTAATGGCACAAAACTTAGAAACATAAACAAACAATGAGCACAGGAACAGACTGCAACAGACCCATAGGATGAAAGTTAATGCAGAGAAGTATGAAATGTTACATTTAAGTAGGAAGAATCGGGAGGAGTAATATGAATTAAATGATAGAAAATAGTTAGAGACATAACTGAAGGCTTTCACAAAATCTTTGAAGATGATAATATAACTTAGATGGCTTCTATTTTTAAAGTGTATGGGGTTGTTGGCTTAATTCATTGATCTAGAGAATACAAAGGAAGTTATGTTATACCGGTTTGCCCTCAGCTGGAGCATTACATTCACTTTTGGACACCACACAATAGGCAAGATACCAAGGCTTTTGAGAGTGTGCAGAACAGATTTACAAGAATGGTAGGAAGAATAAATGATTCTAGTTGTGTTCAAAAATTGGAGAAGCTGTGGTTCTCTTCAGAACAGAAAAGCCTAGGAGGATATTTGTTTGAGGTGTTCAGAATCAGCAATGGTTTCATGGAATGAATCAGGAGAAACTTACCAGAAGTCTACAACCACGGGGTGTAGGTTTAAAGCAAGTGGTAACGTAAGGAAGTATTTTGTAAACACATTGTTGAGATCTGAAATATATTGCTTGAAAGCTAGATGGCAGTAGAATCCATAGTAATAGTCAAAAGAAAATTGATAAATGCTTCATAAGGAAAAGAAAATCTTAGTCTTGTAGGGAAGGAGCAGAGGACTAAGATAATTGGATAATACTGTTAATAAGCTGTCATGCACACAGTGGACCAAGTGGCCCATGTATGTTTTATATGATTCTGTTTATATCACTAGTCCAATATCAGATATTAGCATTTATGAAGTATTGCCAGTAGGTGTGGAGTAGCAGATATTACCATAACTTTTGCAAAGATTCAAGGTTGTGTAGTTGTACTGCATTCAAAATTTAAAGTTTCTTACCATGTAGCTTTGTTAGTGCAATAGTGACATGAAAGATTGAAAATTTTGATTGGGACTGTTTTGATGACTCCACATTGAGGATGTAGCAAATTAATTTTGCTATTTTTGTTCACATTCATAAATGGGTGTGATTATGCTATAAAAGCAGTTTAGTATGCTAATGCTACTGAAACATCCTGTCTTGACTGTCCTTGTTAATTAGCAGTCTACTTCCATAGTCTTTTATAAGTGGTTCCCCAATCTTTTCAGTTTGAATCCTTCAGTCAGGATTCTATTCCTCCCAACAACCCTAACCATAGTCACAAACCACATTCCTTAGCTGATCATAGTACAGTATCTGACATTGCCCAGTCTATTTTTTTTTCCCATGGTAACCCCATCCTTCTCCAACATCAAGAATCTAACTTCTTACACCCAGTTAGAAGCACTGCCTCAATATAATTCAACTGAGCTCAATCATCTCCAGCGTATTACTCTCAATAGCTTTTCTTCATATTGCAATGCTACCACTTTGGATGTTGGACTTGCAACCCCAGTTTTCAACGAACAGAAATTTTCACCAGCTGAACACTGTGAAAATCAAACCATAGTTTTAAGGCCTGTCTACAAGTTTCATACCCTAGGCGTTGACTCCATCTTCTCTCTGTCTGTTTACTTGGGCTAAAATGGATGATTCAAAGACTTGGCATTGTTTGACCCCATGTTGAGGTTCCAATCCTGTCTGTTGCCTGTCTCTCATTGCATCCTTCTGTATCTTCCCCAGCCCAGCTGCAACCTCTATTCCTAAAACTCTGGCTTTGTGCATCCCACCCGATAGCTCTACAGTTGACCGTCATTCCTTCTGGCAACTAGACCCTTGTTTTGGAATTTTCCCCTTCCACATCATTTCTTCACTTGCCTCTCTGCTTAACACCTTCTTTTAAATCTATGTTTTTAACAAAGCCTTTGGTCACCTGTCTTAATCTTTTTAGCTTTGGCTTTGCACTTGTTTTCCCAGAGTTTCTGTAATATACTCTGGGGCCACTTTGTGTTAAAGATACTATAGAAATACAACATGTTGTTCGAGCAATAGAAGTGTAGGCTGTAATATAGTCTAATGGTAATCTATAATTCTTTTCTTCAGGAATACAAACAGAAACTGGCTCAAGTAACGCAAGTTCGGAAAGAGCTGAAATCTCACATTCAGAATTTGCCAGACCTTTCATTGCTTCCAAATGTTACAGGTGGTTTAGCACCATTGCCCTCTGCTGGTGACCTTTTCTCTAGTGACTGAACTTGATATCCTTTTCTCAGGCGTCAAACCGCAATACCTCCACTGTGTGTGACAACTTCTTGAAGGCATGGATCTAGGATATGATGAGGCCTACGTCAGCAGGGCCAAACCTTTAAGACATCTGTGTGAAAATTGCATTAGAGCTGTAGTAACCCTAACATGATGGCTTACAGCAGTTTGAAACGTGGAGGAAAATAAACACTATTCAAAGCCACTGCTGTTAACCTGTAAGTTCCATATACACATCAATTCTGCGCCAGGAGCGATGGAAACTTTCTTCTCCAATCAGGATGTCAAGTGACATCCTTGTGACAATGTGAACTAGATGAGCAATATAAAATGTGCACATGAGTCCGCAGTACAGAATATTTTGAATGTAGTTGAGTGTATTAAAATATAGTGCTGATAATCTAAAATGAGAATTGGGCAAGTTGTTGGCACTGTAACAAGAGTGCTGCATTACCAGGAGTCTTTGTACTGTTCTAGATTACAAGTTCTTACTGCACCTGAATGTGACCAGTTAGATATCCAGTTTTTCCAAATTGACAACTCATTTTGCTCTTTTAAGCACAACAATTTTAACTTTTTTTTTAAATGTTCCTCCAAAAGTAAGGGAAATCTAACTTTAAAAATGCATGACAGATCTTTAACTTGGAGTAATCATTCATTAATAGTGCCCATTGTGCCTGAGAGTAGAAGAGGTTTCCCTACTGTAGTAGTTTATAGTTAGCTGCAGCATATTCTTGTATGCTGGTCCTGTGAGTTTGCATTGGGAGTGTAGAGCCTATTCATACTTGATTTAAAAATAGGCATATCCAAATATTTAAACCATGTTCATATTGAAGGCTGACTTACAGCCAGTATATACCATTGTTTTCCAGTTGGTGCTTGGTATATGTCCAACGATACTGCTTTGCTGTCAGTAGAAGAAAGTGTGGTGCACTTCTGTTACCGTTTTGAGTTTCAAGTGTCTTGTTTAGGTCCATGACAACTGAATTTGGTTTTGTACTGTGGACTCAATTCCAACTCTCCTTCCCCTCATTAAGGACTAATTGAGAAACAACCTGCAACATTTAGACTTGTTTTGCTTGTGTTAAGTTGTTTCAGTTATTTGATAACAGAGCAAAATCAGTGATTAGGTTGCTTTGTTTAAAAAAAGCATTCTTTTAAGTAGATTCAATTTTTTTCAGAAGTGACAAACTAAAACATGATTTTTACCTTGTGCAGAGGGTACTTCACTTTCGAAAATATTCCTCAGTTCAAGCTTGAACGTTTTTGTTTAAAGATTTATATTTGTATTATTTGACAGCTGTGGGACTGCTTCTAAACTCTAAGACCTTAATATGGAAAAGTGTTGACAGTTTGTTCATGGAAAGAAGTTAGAAGAAACCAATTTGGTGAAAAGCATATGACAAGCATGGAGAAAAATTTTCATTTTTTTTAAACTGGTGTGGGAAAGCCCTTTTGGATCCTTGCAAATATGTGAACTATTAAGTGAATTGAACTGGTTAACAGCTTTCATATTTAGTGTTTTTATTTGCTTTCAATGGATTTAGTTCCAATAAGTAGCTGGTTAGGGATTTTTTTTAAAAACAAAGTAATTCAGTCAGCCTGCCCAAACACTATTAAACTGTCTTGGTCTTATCAATATACATTTCTCTTTTTTTTTGTTTCACTTTTTTGTTTATTTGTATGAACAAATGACAATTTTAAAATAGGTTCAACTACAAAGAAAGAGTTGTCTGTTGATCTGATAGAAATTTTATAAAGTTGTTGCCACACAAGACAGTCGATCTCTTGACTCGCAATAGCTAAGGCCCAAAATTGCTCCCCCAGAATGGTGAGATTCACTTTTTGTTACCTTTTATATGGGTTAGGAAGAGAAATTATCTGAAAGGCACTTCTTTCTGTGCTACTTGAACAACATTAATAGTAGATCAAATAAATTACTTGGAAATGTCTCATGCAGGGGATTTCCAGCTACATGCAATGATGAGAAATGTAAACCTTAAGTTCATCTGCAGTGATTCACGGATGATGAAACAAGCTTTCTAAAGTTCTAAATCAGTCTTTGCTTTGTTTACACCTGCCAGTGGCGTGCAAATGGGAAATACAGTTTATCTTAATGTGGTATCTACATTGGGCCTCAGGCTTTTTTGATGAAAAATGATTAATTCTTTTGAGCTGGTCACACGTTTTGAGGTTCTCTAAATTTATAGGATTTATCCTCTTAACTGAAAATTAAGAAACCTTTCTGGGATAAGATAACCACCATTGTAGTCTGTAAGTTTATAAATAGCGTATCTTTCAAAAGATCATTATTTCCTATACACAATCAAATTATTACCATTTGTGCTATGTTGTAGGAGCTAATGTTTCTTTTAAAGTCAGCATTACAAGCATACTACCCTAATTTGGCAGCCATTCTATCCAAACAATTGCTTGGTAGTTTTGAGGGGAAAGCCAACCTTAATATAAGTGGGAAGATTGACAATGGTGGTATTTGTGTTATGTATTCTGGCCAAACTATGTCATTACCATATTTTCAATATTGACCAAATATAGTAATGTTGTAATTTTGCATCCATTGTTAACTTATTAACAGAAATTTGTTGATTTCCCATTAGTTGCACAGTATTCTCAGGGGAATTGGAAAGCAAGGCATTTTTTTGTCTCAAAGCAATTGCGCTATGTGCAGTTTGCTTAATCTGCAACTTTCATGATCACCCAGAAACGTCACTGATACAGGTCATTCTAGGTCATGGTACTCAATGTGGATTTCCCTTTTCGGACTGGCATATGAGACTACATAGGCCACTTAAGTGCAATTTAGTTTTGGCTTGTAATGTAGCATCCTTCAGAATATGCCTTAAATCAACTCCATGCATAATTTTCAAATGTCTCCCAAACATGAGTATTTCAGGAAACATTACTTCTATTTTTTTGTGAAATTTGTCTGCCTGCAAATGTATAGAAATCTTTGAATGTATTTGTAAGAAGCTGAATAAAAATAGTAATATTGAACAGAAGTCAAATTACTCAGTGAATGTGTAATAAGTTAGTGTTGGAATATAAAATAAAAAAATTGAATTGGACGTATCGATCAAATTCTGACACACCCTTATTTTAATGTTTACTTATTGTGAGTTAATCGAGTTATGCTAATGATGTATTTGCTTTGTTTAAGAAACTGAAATATTTGATTCATGCATGATAAGAAAGGAGTAATGGAATGGGATGGAAGTAATTCAGTTATCAAAAACAAATAACTTTGGTTGCAATCAACAGATAACTGTATGGGAAATCTTAAATGAACAGACCTGAAGATTCCAACTGAAATTAATTACTTTGAAGTGTAATGGAACAGAGACTTAAAAACTTTGAGTAAAAGCGCAGAGTTTAAAAATTATAACTGAGTTGCATCATGAGAGACTAGTACATTTCAGTCCTTGTTCTTGCTCAGGTTTTCTGCAACAGAGGAGCACCGTTCAGAAATCCAGTTCTGCAGCTCCTAAATAAAATACAATTGTGATAGAACCTGTTTAGGATATCAATAGTTTGACAATCTTGGCCTTTTGTTTAAAGCCAAGTTTTTATTTTCATATTGTACTTGAGATTTTGGTGATAATTTTTCTACTCCTAAATAAAGTGCTCATATGACCCAACTAAACTTACAAAGTGGGCTATGAAATCATAATCTACAGAGGTTTGTATATATAGCATTCTATCTTTTAACTTTTGTCAGAAACATTATAATTGGATGACCTGTTTCAGTTTTAATTAATATGCACCCTGCAACTGAGTCTAAAAGTTCTCATAGATTTTATGACTATCTACCAGTATTTTAACACTGAAACAAAAAACCATCTGCCACTAGGATTGTCTTTAAACATGAGCAAAATATTCCTAATATAAATGTTACAAGCATCAAATCCTAGCCACAAATGTAGCAAAATTTGTTAAAGTCAAGTCAGCTAATACGTTTTGATGACCATTTGTAAGAAATCAAAATTACGCAAAGGAGCTATTATTGTCGTTGAAATGTTGTAAATAAATAGATTTATCATATCAATGTTTTTATATTCACTTTTTTACATGTTGCATTTTTTTGATTTAATATAAATGGTTATAAACAGTAGTTGAATTCTGAACTAATTGTAGTGATTAGGGTGGCACGATGGTTAGCACTACTGCTTCACAGTGCCAGGTACCTGCTTCCAGCCTTGGGTGACTGTGTCTGTGTGGAGTTTACATTTTCTCCCCATGTCTGCATCTCTAGGTGCTCCAGTTTCCTTCTACAACCCAAAAATGTGCAGTTTAGGTGGATTAGCCATGCTAATTTGCACTGTAGTGTCCAGGCATGTGCAAGCAAGGTAGATCAACAATGGTAACAATGGGGTTACAGGGATAGGGTTGGGTGGCATGCTCTTCAGAGGGTTGGTGCAGACTCACTTGGCCGAATGGCCTCTATCTGCACTGTAGGAATTCTATGATTCAAATAACCCCACGTTTTTGTGCTTACTCCTCCCTTTTTGAAGCTGTTTGCTGATCATTTGAGAACTTAAACATGACCAATAATATCTACCTAATTTTGGAAAATATTGAAGTATCTATGATGATCAAGTGTTAAACTTCAATTAATTCACACTTGTCACCAGAAAACATTAAATATAATCTTCAAAGTTTGTTGGGTTCTAATATCTGGCAACAGTAACATCCTTTTCCTATCAACTGCTCTGTTTGTAATTGTAAAATAAAGTATTTTGTTAAGATATGATTTGTTACTTTTTGATTAGTAAAAAGTCCCTGGAGTTCCACTATTTCAATAAGAATCTTAATTTTGAAGTAATTTTTGGAGATAAAAGGAACACAACTAATTTAGTACTTTAACATATTCAGGACACGAGACAACGATTAGCCAAAGTTGTATTAGAGAATACAAGTTTTTAGATGAATGAGGGGGAATTTCATAGAAACCCACAAAACTCTTAACAGACTAGACAGCGAAAACACAGGAAGGATATTCCTGATGATGAGTGAGTCCAGACCAGGACTCGTAATCTGAGGAAATGGGGTAGGCCTTTTAAGACTGAAATGAGAAACTTCTTAAGCCTGTGGAATTTTCCACTACAGAAAGCATTTGAGGCCAAAAGATTGGATGTTTTCTAGAGGGAGATACTTATATTTCACAGGACTAAAGGGATCAAAGGATATGGAGAATTCAAGATACACAGCCTTAGTTAAACTATCTGAAGAGGAGTTGGACATTTTCAGTGTCTCAGTGAAGACTACAGGGAACTGCAAGCCATTTCTCTCAAACCAAGTTACTAGTGTTGAAGACATGCATTCTGTAGCAAATTGAATGTATTGCAAAATAAATGATTAGTTGATCAGAGGTTTGTGAGCCATATATCCTTGTAGAAGGATCTAGTTACATGTGAGAGAACTGCAATGCGAAACAAATCCAAGGAAAGTTTTGAATAGCTCGGGCTTGGGGTGGAAATGAGGATTTCTACATGCATGAAAGCTATGGCATGGGGAATCTGAGATGAATGTAACAACTGCAACTAAGGCTGTAGTGGTATGAGTGAGGAATTCAAAGGAAAAATATTTCTTGAACAATTTCTCTGATTTGTGGAAATGCACTAGTGGAGCAATGAAGGAATTGAATATTGAAGTGGCTGAGTTGCATGAAATGAAGTTTGGGCAGCATAGATATAAGGCATGGGTGATTTTTGACACTGAAGGAAATGGTTTTGGAAATGAATTAGAGGTGCTGCAAACTGTTGAGAAATTAAACTTCAATTGTGAAGGGTAATAAATATTTTCAGTTGACATGTTAATCAATCCAAATATGGCCTTTAAATTCAACTTGCACTTGGTTTTCTAGCCTTGAGGATATCAAATACTTTATTATAATTTGAGTCACTGATTTCAATAATAAAGACAATCTTTTTGAAGCAGCTGTCAATTTTGGCTTCCATGTTAATAATTGTGTTTACTTGATCTTCAGTTATACCTTTCGCTATGGAGTTCAATTTAGCAAGGTTTAAAACGCCTAATTTGAGAGTATGTTGACCTGGGGCAGGAGAATTGTTTTTAATGGTCCTTTTGTCATCCTCTCCTGTCTGCCTCTCGTTAATTTAAAATAAATCACCATGCCCACAGAAATGCTTAACGATAATTATTAAACCCTTCCAGAGGCTTGCAAGCACACAACCAAAACCCACTTGGTTAAATTAAAAAATCCCAGATCAAAATAAATATTAAGCAGCTTACATTGTTGCACAATCAGGCTCTAAACACATTACCACATTTTTTCACTTGAAGGTCATTCCATAGAATCCATGGAGTAACTAAAGCTGACTTGTAGCAAGAGAGAGTTTAATTAATTTCTCAGGATGACTGCATATTCATCCAAACCAGCCATCTGTCAAAATTGGAAGCACCAGTTATTGTGTAATGGATGAAGTACAAGCTGTTGCAGATACATCTTATATCCCTATGTCCAGAAGTATGAGGTCATCCCCATCCTTTGATAATGGAGAGGTTTTTTTTGACCACATTGCTCTTCCCACTTAGGGTGTGACTTGACAAACTACTTGTTTAAGTGGAAAAAGAAGAATGACATTTGCTGAGGAAACTTTGGGAAGCACAACGGTTGATCGTAAAGGGACCTTGTATCATCAAATAAATTGATCTGTTTTGCAGGCAGATTTTGTTAGAAAGAACCATATTAAATTTGCAACTAGTAAGCTAGTGAGAAGGTTGCTAAGCAATAGTTCATTTCAAGGATATGGCTTTTATCCAGAAAATCTTTAATGTGTCTGCCAGACTTGCCTGGGCTGGTTGATACTACTAGATGTATGTCATTGATTATAGCACTAAGTTGCTTTTACCTCTTCAGCATTTCCATACATCATCCTTCTCCACGTCTAATTTGAAGTAAATGTGTGGGCAACATGGTGATTTATGTTAGAGACTATTTTGGGATTATAGAGAGGAGCCCCATCTTAGGAATTTAAAGAAAAAAATATTTCTTGAACAGCTTCTCTGAATTGTTTTAATTTGATGAGTGACAAGGGCTTTATTATACTCTAATGCTATATTGTAATTCCTGGTTATGGTCATCAGGCACAGTTGTCTTGCTATCCGGTTAGTTAATAGTTCAACCTCATGAACCTTTCTGCATTACACTGTTGACATTTTCACTCAAACTCTCCCAGTATAAACAAATTCCCATTAGCCTCCAGAGCTGCCTCTCGTTGTTTTAAAATAAATCACCATGCCCACAGAAATGCTTAATGTTAATTATTAAACCCTTCCAGAGGCTTGCAAGCACACAACCAACACCCGCTTGGTTAAATTAAAAAATCCCAGATCAAAATAAATATTAAGATATATATATATAATCTCATACTTCAGATCACAACAGTGACCCCAGTTTCAACATTGTCCTACAAATAGAAATCTTTTCTCCACCCTGTCAAGATCACTCAGAATCTTTTATGTTTCAATCAACTTGCCTGTAACATATCCAGCTCCAATGGCTATAGGCCTAGTTGCACACCATCCTGACTTCTCACTATAACAGCCTTCTATCTTGATGACTGGGTCAATATCCTGGAATTTCCTTCCCCCTAGCACAGTAGTGTACCTACACTGGATTGACTGCAATAGTTTAAGACTATCGTTCACTATCTCCTTTCTCAAGGGATGGCCAGCAAATGCCTGCCCTGCTGCTTGTCACATGTATTTTTTTTTCTCCCTTTTTTTCGTTGAAGTGACATTGGAAGGGCTGATATTCTTGGGATGTGGTAGGTGGAGGGGTAGTGGAAATAATCGGTCAAGACAAGTAACATTCTAAAAAGCTTAAAAAGTCAGTAATGACCAAATGTGTCCATTTCAGGGTGATGTTTGGTAGTGTCCTTTCTGGATTTAGAATTCATCTGTAAAATTTCAATTATTCATGCTGATCATGATCTCAGACAATGCCCCTTACAATGGGGAGAAAGGAGAGCCACTTGAG